AATGGAATTTAACTAAAACCATACCTTTAGCATAACTTGGACCAGCTGCAGCCACATCTTAATAATATTGGTTGACTTCACGCTTGAAACTTAGGGTGCTAGTTTCTGTGTCGGCAGCTACTTTAAGTCGTGGACAAAAATCAAATTGAAAACATTACTTTAATTTAATAACAATATAATAAAAAAACCAAAGTTAAAATAGTTAAAAACTTATTCGATACGATTATTTAAAAAAGCACTGTCGAAATGTATTACAATATAAATAAACTAATTTTTTTCGATTAAACATTTACAAAGTGGTTATCGTCGTCCAAAAATAGACAATATATTCACCAGCTTCCTACTATAATAATATTAATAATAATAATAATAGTATTTATAGCCAGCACAGTAATACACAATATAATATAATATGTTTATTTAAATAATAGCCAACACAGTATAATATCAATTTTATACATGACATAGAGCTTATACATCATAATAATAATAGTTACAAAGTAAAGTTTATACTGATTAACAAGAAAATAAAAAAAAAAAGGAATACTAATACATTTTTATATGAACATTATTAATATTTAATTACAAATATATTATTATACTTATATAATATGGGTATACTGTTCATTAAAAAAAATAATATATATAATAAATAATATTCAAAAATTAACAATAATATTGTTTTGTTTCATATCACGATTTGAAACAACATATGTTAATAGTTATTTTAAATGATTACTGATTAGGTACCTAAATGCATTAACTATTTGTTTAATAATAATTTATTTTATTAGTTAATGTATCGATCATTCGTGCTATGATTGATAATTTATTATCAATCATTTTAATAGATGGTTCCCTACAAGTATTTTTATCTCAGTCAAAAAGAAAAATGTTCACCGGAAATATACGCTACCTATTTATTATTTAGGTATGGCTCGACAACTATACTATACAGCAGGATTGTAGGAACCATTTGTTCTCTTTATTTATGTCTGTCATCGTCGTTTGGGACAGTAAAAATGCTTGAATTTTCTTCAACAGCATATTTCTTGTAGGAAAGTGAATCTAGTTAGTACTTTGGGGTAAAAAGTAAAAATTCCAAATAGTTTTTAAAAGTGTCATTAAGAACTGAGATTTTTATGCAAAACTATTTTTCGAAAAAAAAACTATTTTTTTTTTCGTATCTCTAAAAAAAAATACCAAATTTAAATGACATTTTCGCTGAATATTGTTATATATTACCAATTTTTTTACTGTAACCATATACAACCTAAAAAATATAAAACTACAGTTAATATTTACGTACATTTTCAAATTTAAACAAGATTACTTCATATTAAAACCAAGCTTAACCAAGCAAATAGTTATTTCGTTGATAATTAAAAATATTATTTTGTTTTCGGAATGGCAACGTTGCATTTAAAATTATGCGGAATCGTGTATATATATATATTACATTTGCGGAGTCGTGTATGTATATCAGTGGCTATTTAAATCAAACTTTTCGGAATCGTTCTCCACCTCTTTATACATTGACCCACTTGTAACCTACTGTACAGCAGAGTGACATCCACTTACCCACTATTATAAATTGTCTCTGCGTTCAAACATTTAAGTTAATTTTAATGCACAATATATTATGACTATACGTCAAAAATTTGCTTTAATAAAGGAAATAATGTATACGGTAATTAAAAAAAATATTTCATATCGATGGCTAAGAGGCCAAAAGTTGTATGTCCCAAACACTAAACTTTTCGGGAGAGCAGTTTTAAGATTTTAAATTATTCTACACCAAATAATTTGCGTTGTAGATTTTTGTTTTTCGGTGTTGCAACTTGCAACTGATTTATTTGTAAAATATTCTGTAGATTACATAAATTATTACTTTTAGGTTTTAAAATTTTTTCAAACGTAATTATAATGTTTCTTTTAAATTTAAATGGGACTTGTTATGAATGGCAATTATAATATATTTTTACCGTGGACATATAAGGTTTTGATGGACATATTAAAAGTTGTTAATTTAATATAAACTCTAATTAATTTATTACATAAATAATTAAAATGTACGTAAGACTTATTTTTTTAATATAAAAAATTCAATTTGTTTATAAAATTGCAGTAAAAAAGTAAAAAATATAAAATATATTGGAATTTTTTATTGAATGTGAAAAATAATAAAGTAGCATTTTTCATCAAATTTTTAGTCAAATAAAACCAGTGTTTAATGATATTTTATGCTAAGTGAAGATATCATATTATTTAGTGTAATTTAAAATTAAAAATTTTTATTATTTAAAATAATACGTCCGGACATATTATTTTTTTATAAATAGATAAACAAATTCAATATTATCTAAAACATTACACGTCCAAAATTCAATAAATTGTTTTTGACAAAAGTAACAAGTCCGGACTTGTTATATTTGTCCGCTTAATATTTAGATCATGTTAAAATATTTATCGTATGTCTCATTAAATTAGGACTTGTTATATGTGTGCACTAAAAAAACATGTCTTGCACTAAAAACACAAACATTAAAGTATAAATAAAACATGTTTTAATCATGATATTGACTTATAATGTTTTACCGAATCAAAAAGACGACCCAGATAAACCCTATGAACTAATAAAACAATTTTGAGAAAAATTGGATATACAACTTTTGGCCTCTTAGCCATCGATATCACAGAATAGTACTGACTTAATTAAGTAGGTATGTCGGACATGTGACACAATGTAGCTCTAAATTGGAACTATGAATTTTCAAGTAAATGCATTTCATGATATTCTAAAAACAAAACTAGGTACATTTATTAATGCTATGTTTAATTATTATAAATAGCTTTATTTATACATTTTATGTAAACAATTTTTCGATTTCTAATAGTGTTTTATTTTCCGTTTCTGGTAAATAAAAGTATAAGTAGAGTGATCTAAAAATGCCCAAACAACCCAAGAGAACCATAGTGTATTCCAAGGTCAATAGAATCTCTATTTCTATGTATGATTTTGTTAATATGAATATTAATAAATAAGACAATCCTGCAGATGAGCCAGTCGCAATACCTCGGACTCTGAAAAAAAAAAAATTATAACCAACTGCAATTAGATTAAATAATTAAAAGGATGGAATATACCTGATGGCTGATTCGTAATTTTATATGTCAATTATAAAAATAAACAATATTCCCTAAAATTAGGTACCTACATAGATATTATTCTTCGGTGAGTATAGAATATTGTACTTACTATCTCTAATCATCATAATCATCCCCAAAAATGTACTATGTTGTAATCTACTTTTAGTAAATGTTAGTACTACACTATTACATAATAATAATTTATAATTAATGGGTAGGTAACACAGCTATGTTAAAATATTATAATAATATATGTATATATAATATTATATCGGCTTTCAATTCTCTAATGCTCGAATAATCATCAAATTACTTGACCAGCCAAGCAAACCATCCCCCCCCCCTTGGGAATTATTTAACGAATAATTTATTTATAGTAATTTATTTTACGAACACATAACGTATATCGTTGTTTCGTGTCACCGATAATCCACCAGGAGGTAACGAAGAACAAATAGCAAATATCAAATATTCGTACAAGTACTCTGTTTCTTCTAACTACCTAAAGGTACATAATATTGCAGGTGACTATCAACAAATATAGCGAATATTTGTCAAAAACGGTGGAGTAGTATTTGGGTCTATAAGCTACAAAAGTACAAACATACGGACAGTAATACATTTTTATCTTGAATCAAAAATTATTTGATGGATATCACAATTTTAAGTCCTAACATATATTTTTATGTACACCATTAAGAAACCACTATACATTCTTAAAAAAAAAAAAAATAATTGTATTAATATAGACATTTTTTTCCCTATAAAGTTTAATACTATATAAACTAGGAATATAAGAATATTATAAATTATATTTGGTGGGGGAATAAAAGTCCCCTACATTCTCTCCACTATAAATACTATACCGACTCTCAGTATAACTTGTTGATTTTATTTAAACATATTCGTCAACTGACTTATTGTTATATTTCTAAGAATAGTAAATTATTGTGTAAGAAAATGTATAATTTTAATGAGCTTTACTTGTTTGGAAAAACTTCATTAAGTAACATCCATGGCAAAATAATGACTGAAGCTCCAAAAAAGTTAATGTCACATAATATAGTTATAGGAATCCAAGGAGTTGAGTAGATATAGCCATTATTAATTGCTACAATGTAGATGCCGAATAGAAACATCAATAATGTGTTGATAAAAAATGTCAAATTAGTCAAAAACCTTTTAACCAGATAATGGACGGTCAATACTACTATCAAGGATCCAATAGTTTGTAGTACAGCAAAAACTACCTGGAAATATTTCAATAAAAATATTTATTATTTTACTTATAAAAGTGTATATATTTCCGTAGTACCCATATTTACCAAGAGCAAACTTTGATTATTCGATATACCAACTTCTGTCCGTTCTTCGATGAGTTCCAGATACTTCGTAACATCGGATGAGTTCAAGGAGTTCGGTTTTGACAATTTCGGGTTCTACCCATCCTCTTAACAAACACAAGGCCTTTTCGGCTTTTTCGTTTTTCGCTTTGGAAACCAGCCACACTGGAGACTCTGGAATGTATAAGCAATACAGGCACATGTGTACCATTAATATTAACTTATACGTATAGTAAACATATAGGTAGGTATCAAAATCACAAGGCATATACAAGTGATCGGACAAAGTGTACTCAGCAATGTGACGGTTCTCCATTCGAATAAATATCCCAAAAAGTAAGTCAACAACACTCCAAGCATAGACGAGGTACATGCCAATGAAGCCATCGATCCCCTTAATCTCGGTTCGGTTATTTCACCGACGTACGACAATATCGGGGCTTCGCTGAATCCTATGCCCAAGCCCATTAGCACGGTGGACGAGTAAAGTGAAACTGTGGAGTGTGTTTAGTACAGCAATATCCATCCGAAAATACTGGGGACGTTGGCGAGAATCATGCACCGTTTCCTTCCATATCTTTCTTGCAGGAATCCCGATAGAAAACTTCCGGTCGGATGAAATATAAACAATATACTCCCTGCATAATAGTAAAAATATAAATGTATAATTTAGCGTACCTATTTGATGCGGCAGAGTGTGGGTGATTTGAACTGGTGCGCGAACAGCAGTTTTTATAATATTATATTGATAGGTACTTACAATAATATTATTATACTCCACAATTTATCACAAAAACGACGCATATAAGCCGAGTACAATTTCGTGAAACGTATTGTAGTGCAGTGTTCTGATTTTCAATTTGATAAACTCACTAAATAGCGAACCTCTAGTTTTTTAATAATCTAAACCTTTTTTTGGTTACCTTAGATAGTTCATGTTCTGAAATCTCAATGAACTAATAACTACATAAATTAGAATCAAATACATGTTAGTTGTTCAAATATTTTCATCTTTATAAATAATAATAAATCATTATTATTTTTCTTATCCATAATTGTTAAATGTTACAAGAACAATGATAAAAATAAAATCGAATCTACAATGTGGCTGGACTTGTTTTTAGAGAGTCGGGTCGGTCGGTTAGTACCCACAACAACTATTATTGCTAACACATATTGTGATGTGGTGTGAGTTATTAGAAAATAGTTAAGACTCGATAGAGAGCAATATTATAGAATAAATCAATTATTTTGAGTTAGGTTAGTCTAATATTCCTTTTTTTCAACGTCTAGATTATTTCCATTACTTACAAATGTTATACTTACCCTAAACTGTAAATCTATTATTTATATTATATAATAACCATACCACGAAACTTCAGTTAATGTTAATGAGAATTCACTGTCCGAATTTCGATATAATTGTTGAATAACAATTGTGGGCATTCCTATTTCCATGCCCAATCCAATTAATAGAAAGTTCTGCGCTGTTGTAGCGAAAATCTGCGTTATTTAATTGCAGTTGTTTTAGTTTGTTTTATATTTTAAAAAAGGTTTGTATACATATATTATAATGTGATACCAACTTGTGCCTGCCACCGTAGCCTTTGGGCCGTAGGTTTTGGGAGTATTGTCCATGTTATTTTCATTGTTATCACTTATTAGACATTGGTGACTCGCCTAAGTAGAACTACAAATTACAATAATTTAAAAAAACGTTTGCTAGGTTATCTAGCCTATAGGTGTATACGCGTACGTCTAAGTTTTAGAGTAAAATCAACCGTCGATAATAACTATAAAATGTCGGTTTTTCCAGTCAGACAGTATCGCGGACACATGTAATTTTTTTTTTTATTAAATAAAATTAATTTATTATAAATTATATAGAGCTCAAAAGAACAAGTTTATAAGAATTTAATAAGATGAATCTATCTACCACCTGTAAGCAAGCTTGTAATGATGGTAGAGAGCTACAAAATCTAGTAATTAATATAATAATCGATGCCTGCAGCTTATAGGCACTCGTACTTTCCCTTATTTTTTAATGTCATTATGAAATCTAACATTTCCTGTTTGTGACGCTTTGAGATTTGTTTTTAGTATATATTTTAAATAATAACTGTTCGAAACATATCATAAAATAAGCATAACACCTGTTTCGAGGAAATATCTAGCCTGAAATGGAAAAAAATATGGAATAAACGTGAAAGTAACGAAATTCTTAAATTAAATAATATTATAATAAATTGTACGCAATTTGATTAATACGAAGACGATGCAAAGCGAATAATTTTCATCTAAATCTTTAACTAAATTACCATAAATTATCATCTATTTTCTTTGTCTAGCACTTCACAAAGTTAGGAAAGTGTGAAATTTCTTCCTAGAAACCCACATAATCTCTAAATCCAAATTATTTTAAACTAAGATCACTTTTATATATGTAAAAAATTTCTGCAATTATTTATTGCAACTATTAGTACCACACGATTCATGATGACAAAGATGTGCATAAATTTCCTCACCACCATTTGCTTGTTAAACGTAAGACATTACATCGTCCATGTTGTTTAAACGCAAGAGGTATTATACGTGGCGCGTTTTTTTTATTGTGGTGTCCCCGGTAGGCATAGTCCACATTTTAAGAAAGTCTTTTACAGTAAGCTGTGTGGGTGACATTAATGATTTTATAATAAATAGCTTGGCTGTGAAATATTAAGCACCTAATGGGAATATCTAGCCTCTAATGGAAAATGTATGAATTATCACGCGAATCACATTTCTTTAGCACACCTAGCGTCGTCATTGAACCACAAGTCGTCAAGGCACCATACGTCGTCAGCGAACCGAACGTCCTGAGCGCAACGGCACGTCGTCAGCGATCCGCACGTCGTCAGCGAACCGCCAGTTACGCAGCGAACCGCATGTCGTCAGCGAACCGCACGAAGTCGGCTGCAGCGCACCGTGTGTCCAATCCCGGATTATGGGAGGGGGGTCAAGGGGTGCACGGTCTCAGGGCCCATTGGTTTTGGGGACCCATCTGTTTCCCCAATATATATTTAAAATACAGTTTTCAAAAAAAAAAAATTATTGAAGTAGGTAAGTATAGCAGGTAAATTATTATTAATAACAAAATTATAAAATAAAATTGTTCTCCATTTTATACCACGAAAAATTCCTATAAATAATGAATTATGTTTGCCAAAAAATATGTTTTTTTTTTTTCGAGCATTTTAGATTGTCGATTTAAATATTTAAGTATACAAAAGGGTAGTTATAAGAAAAAAATATTTAGCTCTTAATAAATTAGGTATTTCAGTTACAAGTATTAATGCATATTAAACTAAACTTTAATGAACCATAGTCTAACCTAACCTAACGAACCAAAATTTATCATTTTACTGTCAAAATATTCAGAAAAAAGTTTTACCAGAATCCATCGAAAAATATAGTGGTTACCATTTGAAAAAATAAAGACGATTTTATTATTGATACAACTGCGTGTTTATAAATGTTGAAAATGTTGTGAAAAAATTGCCTGTTAAAAAAAACACGTAACACGTAACACGTAACACGTCTTTTTTTGTTTTAAGGAAATTCCATATCATTGATTCATAATTGTTAAAAAAAAACACGTTCAATGACATATGATACACCCTGTATATTTGTTGTATAGTAAAAAATTATACAGTAATATAAATTCGTAATTGTAATGATACAATTATTTTTAATTTAAAGTTGAAAGGGGGCCCACTAAGTGTATAGGTGTCATGGGGCCCAATCGATCCTTAATCCGGGCTTGCATGCGTTGTTGGCAAACCACACGTTACGTCAGCGAACCGCACGTCGTCAGCGAACCGCCCGTTAACGCAGAGAACGGCACGTCGTCAGCGAACCGCACGTACGTCAACGACGAGCACGTCGTAACAAACCACACGTGCGTCAAAGAACTACACTTCGTTATCAATCCGCTCATCAAGACCGCTAGGATGCCATCGGCACAATCCCAATCTTTACATGGAAATTATCGAAGATTTTATGGGAAATGTATGCTATTCTATGAAACATCAATCCACTAACGGAAAATACATTAATTAAATAGTCGGCTAATGTCAAGGCAGTTTTAGAAAACGTTACCATATTGTTACACTGAGACAGATTATGGCTAAATTTTATAAATTTGATAAAGAACTGCAACTGAAAACTGAAATTTGATTAAGAATCTTTATAGACTATAAAAAAGCTTATGACTGAATTGACAAACTATGAGAAGCACTGGAAGAACTAGGCATTCCTAACAAGTAAGTAAGTCTTATAAAATGATGTAACAATAAAAATGTATTCGTAGTTCGATTCCTGCAGGAAATGTCTGATACCTTTGAGTAAAGTCAGGTCTTCTACAATGTTAATGCTTTATCATCCACTCTACTGAATCAACCATTAGACAATTAAATTATAGAAGTATGGGATGGTCGAAAAATGGAAATATTATGTAGTGAACGAGTAATATTGGCGTAAACAGATGACGAATTGAAGTCAAAAATACTTGTCCAGACTCTTAGCAAGTAAAATTATGGGGCTAAGTAATGCAGGGCTACGTGTAAATGGGGAGAAGACGAAATATTTAATGGTAGCAAGAAAAAGCTCAAACATAGACCATATTATAACAGTAAATGATTAAAATTTCAAGAAAGTGGAAGTATTTAAGTACCTAAGCATTATCATAAATAGAACAAGGACAGGTACGAATAAATCAACTATCAAATAACATGCGGCCATCGGTGCTACTATACCAAAATTAAACTTCTTAAATCAAAACTACTTTCACAGAGTCACATAACTCAAAGACACTATTTTATCATAGCCATTTACGACCAATAATCACATATACGATCGAAACATGATCACTGACCAAAGGAGACAGCCAACGGCGAATGACCTTCGAAAGAAAGGTAGGTACTGAGAAGTATATACGGTCCAAAGTTCAACGCAGAATTTCAAACTTATGAAAGCAGAAAAAAATCAAGAATAATACAAAGGCGATGGGCCGCGAACAGTATTTTTTTAATATGTCGCAGGGTACCTATACTTAAGTATGGAAAAGTATGGAAATTCTAGTCAAAACTGATTTAAAAATAAAGAAATTTAAAATAAAGAAAAGAAAATAATGGAATTTCAGTAAAAATGCTGAAATTAAATATACATTCATTGATTAAACCATTATCACACATTTTCAATTTAGCTATAACAACATCTACTATTCCGGAATGCTTTAAAATTTCAGTAATTACACCAATACACAAAAAAAGGTGACAAATCTATTATTGAAAATGATCGCCCAATCTTACAAATATAAAATATTGCCAAATCTATTGAAAAAATTATTAAAAAAGAATTAGTCCATTACCTTGAAAGTAATAATCTTCTATCATGTACCCAATTCGGGTTTAGACCCGGTAAAAGTACCGAACAAGAAATTGCAACAGTATCAAGCTATATTTATAATTCTTTCAAAAATAAAAAAAAATGTGCAACTGTTTACTTGGATCTAGCAAAAGTATTTGATACTATAGATCATAAAATATTACTACAAAATGTTAACACACTTAGTATCAATGTAAAGGCTCAGAATTTATTAAGTTCATACTTAAAAAATAGAAAACAACACGTTCGAATAAACAATGAATTAAGCTAAGAAACTTCAATAATATGTGGTGTACCTCAAGGGACAACTCTATCTCGCCTACACTGTTTAATCTACATATAAACCAAATTAATAACTTGAATACACACTGAAAACTATATAGTTATTGCTACGCAAATGATACAGTACTTTTCGTTGAAGGCCAATAATTGGATGAAGTATTTGCTAGTGTTCAATCCGACATGAGTAAAATACAAAAATGGCTCTGGGAAAACAATTTATTCCTAAACTTAGAAAAAATCTTCATATTTCATTATTTACGACACTATATAGTTAATTCAAATCAACCAAATAAAACAAATCTATATATACATGAGAATGACCGTTTAAATCAAAATATATGTACATGCCAAACATTTGTAAAAATAGTTTTAAAAACTGTAAATACTTAGGTATAGAAATGTGTCATAATCTTAAATGGAATGACCACATAAAATGTTTAACAAATAAATTAAGAAAACTTATGTATGCACTTAAAAAATTAACGGATATCCTAGAACTTAAGACGATTAGAGTAGTGTATAAAGTATTAATAGAATCCATAATTAATTATAGTATTTCTATATGGGGAGGTACGTATGATACAACTATGGATCCATTAAAAAAAATCCAAAACAAAATACTAAAAATTATCCTAAAAAAATACTAAAAAAAAGATACCACACAAAATATTTATATAATGACATGAATGTACTACCTATGAAAAAATTATTTTATAAAGCGTCGGTACTTTACATAATTAAAAATAACCTTACTTTTAAAACTGAACACGGACTTAATACTAGGCAAATATCTAATATCAAAGTACAATAACTATGCACAAAAAATTAACACAATCCACATACCTATATATTTATCCAACAATTTTCAATATACCACCAATAGAAATGAAACACAGCAACTCTTTTAAGATTCTTAAAAAAAAATAATTACACTTTGGCTATTACAAGAACAAAATATAGACAGACTCATAACAAACGCATATGATTACTGCATTATTTATCATATTAGTTGTACGACTTTAGAAATTATTGTTAATTTTAGTTTTATATTACCATATTATATTGTATTATTTAACTACACAATTTTTACATAATACTATATTATACAAACTAATATAAACAAAGAGAAGAAAATATAATATATTATTTATATTATTAATATTATAGTTAGGTATGTGAGAAATGTATATTACAAATTGTAAATATTTAATTTATAAGAACTATTTAATGTATTTATATATCAAATTGTGAACTCATGGGCCCCCACACGTACATGTTCAGTGAGGCACATTATCATCTTGAAGAATAAATAAAAAATTAAATTTCAAAAAAAAATACCTGCGAGTAGTATTAGAAATATTAAAAAAACAAAATTATATGAAAAATAAATGAAAAAAATATATTTTGATTACAAATCCAAAAAAATTGATCTCTTTGCATTTTTAATGCAAACGTATTAATATTAAATATGTATGAAAAAATAAATAAATAAATAATCTGATATGAAAAATGATTTTACTGTAATTTGTGCAATTTGTAAATTTCAATAACTTTATAACTTTTTTGTATACATTTTTGTAATTACCAGATTGTAATTTGTGTAATTTGTAATTTGAAAAAATTGTAAATAATGGCTTTCTAAGGAAGCTGTTCTAAAGTAGTTCAAACAACATTTTTAAACCCACTAGTCATATAACATAATTTAAGTAACATCAGAATGTGATGAGACAGAAGGTTAATTTTCAACCAACAGTAATGACCCATTCGAAAATTTGGAGGTACGTAGATTATGTACGTGGATAAATGACTTTGAAAAAAGGTGTCTATTGTTCGTAAATTGTGAGCAAATGAGTTGTAAAAAGGGTAAATGTGCGCAAATGAGTTGTAACCCTCAATTGCTCTCCCCCCTAAATTACTAAATGTGGCCCTGTATACTATTTACAATAAATACAAAAAATGCTTTATGTTTATTAAACAGGTGTGCGAAAATAATATTGCATATATGCTATATTATATTTACAAAATCTATTTAATATTATCTCACTTACTTGGTTTAGGTACCTAGCTAGTAGTTTACCTTGGCTGAGCTGTCCATACTCCTTGACTTACGTCCAGTGTCGAGTGATGTCTAGAAACAAATTAATAACATATATTTTATATAGATTAATAAATAAACCAATTTCTAATTGATGTCTAAGATTTAAATAATGAAAATCTACAAAAATATCCAGATTAATCTCATTGTGTAATGCACTTGTATTTTTTCAATGATAATTTACTAGTTCAGTCATATTTTACATCAAATATAATATTACCACAGTACTTGCTATCAATATATTACAGGTATATGAGTAAAAATTAATAATAACATTAATAGCTGGGCTGTATCACAATAATCACTTGAAGTATTAACATCCAGAATAAACCGTTTAGGAGATGAGACACATAAAATGTTACAAAATAATTGCAAGTTAAAAAATGAAACAAGCATGGATCATCATAATATTTTTGTTCAACAGTCTTATTAGTTTGATAAGTGAATACGACGGGGTATGATATGAAATCATTGTATAAAATACGAAAAACGATTCTGAGCTAAAACGGTCTCTCAGCCAATAATATTATTAAGGGTACTTATATTTGTTGATATTATTCAAGTGATTAAAGTATCTAATTTATTTTACTAGGTATAAGGCATTACTGAATTAGTACAACAACAGGTTAAATTCATTTTTGGCAAAAAAATTACATTGGAAAATGTCATTGTGTGCATAAAATATAATAATGTACCCTAAGTGTTTCATATACCCACGAATAATATTTTTAAATTAGGTACAACTAAAATCGTAATTCTGGGTTTTAAAATGTAATTTCATCTAAATTTTAACTTATATAACAGTTACTAAAATTACTAAAATTTAACTTGAAATATCCGTAAGAAACAACTAGGTTTATATTTTTTTAGATTTTTTGGTTACAATATGAACTATTTATGATAATCCTGTAATGTAAGATACAAATCTAGATAAAAAAAAGTATTTTCTACACAATATTTGTCTAGATAAATTTAAATATTCTATCTTCATATCAATTTATATATATTTATTGAGTTAAGTATAATATAATATAATAATAATACTATCTAGATATTATTTTTATTATATGAAATCGACACTGCTTACATAAAAACAATTTCTTACTATCACGCTAACTCAACAACTTTTCGAAATTATTGTTTAAAATGTATTAATCATTGAGGTACATACAACTATTTTGGATCCGTATTCTGATGAAAAAAAACCTTTGATTGTGGAAAGCTGCTTTCATTGTTGATTTGTAGATCTTTGAATTTAAAACTCTGTAATGGTTTTAT